CACGCTCACACACACACACACAGTAAATAATCTCCACAGCCATCAGCGGCACAGTTCCTTATAACTGCATAATAAAACAGGGTGTTTCACCCTCTCCTCAAAAAGTTTAAATATTATCATTGATGGGCTATCCATGTTCAAGCAGTGGTACAGCAATGAATCTCTATTGTAATGATTTTAAGTTATAACAGTATCCTCCTGGTCCCATAAATGTATTATATGCAGTGGTTACAGAGGGCACTTCTCATATAAAGCATTCTAGGACACTTTACTGCATCATTAATTTGGTATAGAACCAACAAGCTACTCTCAATAAATATTAATTAATGAAGGATTAATGAAACAGCTTTGTTTGTTCTCTTCAAGTTTATAAACTTTTTTTGTGGGGGGAGGGGGCAGTGATTTGAGGCCTAGGTTGCTTTAAAAGAAACAAAACCGAGAAATTTGAGGGGATGTCTGCCTTGAAGCCAGCCAGTCCTAAAGTCAACGCTGACTTTGTCTTTAGGTGGTCAATGCTGGGATTTGAGGTCTAATCCCATCACAGAGAAGCCTGAACTGGCAAAAGGGACAGGGGACACAGAAATGAAGAGATAGCCCCAGGGGTAGAGGATAAAGTCACAGGGAAGTGAGCACAATCCACAAACCCAATATGTGGACTGAATTAAAACCCAACCTGTAAAGAGGCATGGTAGGAGATGTTCACACTGTTTCTCCTATGTTAGCTTTGCTTTTCCTTAAATAGTCTGTGACACTTGCCCCAAACACTGCAACACGAGTAGGCCTCTTTGCTCAGAAGGGACAGTCCAGGGGAGTCACTTACCCGATGCAGGTGGCTGGTCACTGGAGGGGCTTCCAGGCCCAGGGCCTCCCCTGCTGGAGCCGGGAGGCCTTACATCAGCCCCATCCGCGGGCTGGCCCCCGCCCTCTGCCCCATCAGCTGCGTCTTCGGGTGGAAGGCCCATGCCATAGGCACACTGGGGCAAGGGTCCGCTTTTTGGGGAACCCATAGGGGGCTCTCGGTCCTCCCCAGGATGGTTCCCGCAGCCTGTGCAGGAGGCTGCCCAGTGGGGGCCACTGCCGCCCTCCACTTCTTTTTGCAAGTACTTTTCAGAGGACGTGGGGATCCAGTCAGTCCTGCACAGGGGCTCGACCACGTTGTAGCTTTTGGAGTCCGCCAGGCTCTCCGTCCCAGTGAAGCACTGGCTTAAACTGTCATTCTCCCCCACCTCCAGGGGCTCCGGGAAAGGAGGTATGGAATTGCTTCCAGGCTGAGTGAGGAACAGGAAAGAGGCCGGGGTCTGCGAGGGCCTGTCCACGTACTCGTCTTCCATGGGAATCTGCTTGAAGGGGTCCCCCTCAACCTCGCTGACCAAGGTGAGCATCCTGGCGTCTTCCCCCTGTGCACAGGGGCTGCCGCCTGCACACGCACCCCCACAGACACCACCGCTGTCTGGACAGCACAGATCTTCAGAAAACGTTGTCTCTTTCAGTGTCAGCAGTAAGACACCCTCACAAATTTCATGCTGACTAGAGGCCTCCACGGGACTGCTGCTAAAATTGTTGCCTGCGGGCTCCTGCTGCTTGAAATCCAGAAGGTGGAAGCATTAGTACCCAGGTATTAAAACATGGTTCTGCTGAACGGTGCTGAAAATGGTGCTGACAGTAATTACCGTGTTTCCCCGAAAATAAGACCGAACTGGAAAATAAGCCCTAACATGATTTTTCAGGGTGCTCGTAACATAAGCCCTACCCCCTAACATGAGCCCCAGTTAGGATCGTCAGCCAGACATGACTGTTTGAATAAATGTAGATTTTTGTACATGAATAAATGAATAAATGTAGATTGTTGGAGTAATAATTAATATAAGACCCGGTCTTATTTTGGAGGCAACATAGTATTCCCACCATACCAAGTACCATGGAACCCTCACTGTAGGAGTTTGCATTATTTAAAATTACAGGGTGAAGTCCCCTAAGATGGAATACAACCAGAAACAGATGAACCTAAATACATTTCAAATGAACAGCATATTCATCACACTGAAACGAGGGGAAGCGCTAACCCAAACAACTTTAGAACACGGGATTTTTAGTATATACTCTCAACCTAAATTTTTAAAAATAACAAACAAACCTCTAAACAAATATTGAACCTTTGTTTCTTGCTGTGGTATGGTTTAGTAATTCTGAAACTACTTTCTACGTATTCTGGAATTGAGCAAACGAGTAAATACATTGAGAATAATAGGAGGCAGGTTTCAGACTGTTGGAGAAAAGACAATTCAAATATGAGATAGAGAAAGGCTAGGATGTGGTGTTGAGTCTGGAGTTGGAGAAATCAGGATGAGCTCATATAATTGCTTAAAATTTATATATTTTTATACCTAAGAAAATAGATGTAAAGGACACAGTGGGATAATTAATGAAATTTTAATATCAACTGTGGATTGGATAATAGTATTGCACCACTGTTAAATTTCTTGACTTTGATAAATGAACTATGGTTATATAAGAAAATGTACTGGCTCTTAAGAAAAATCACACCGATGTACTTAAGGGTAGAAGAGCACAATGTTTGCCATTGACTCGAAAATGGCTCAAGAAAAAAAAATACATACACATATATGTACACGCATTGAGAGAACAAATAATTAAGCAGTGTGATGAAGGAGAAACAATTGGTGGGTCTGAGAATACAGTACGTGGAAGTTCTTTGTACTATCTCATTGCTTTTCTATAATTTTGAAATTATATCAAAATTAAAAGTTACCAAAATTACTAGGAATCTGTACTAAGCAATCGAGATTAGCACTAAAAGAATAATATAATTAATATATGTCCACAGAGGTGACAGACATGGAATGAAATACAAAGAAAACAGCATTTAGGATGAGTGCTGACTGGGCTTCGGGTTATTCTAGGGGATCAATCCCAGGATTTGAGGGTCCATTCCCTCAAAGAAGAACCACTCACACAATGAGTCTCAATATCTAATGATTATATCTGACTAATAACTATATCAGCCTAATTGTTAAAAGTACTTCAAGCAGGCACTTCAGACTTTTAAATTTACCTTATTTCCACCTAGGCGGCCGCATGCCTCATTGACCCAGTGCCATAAATTAGCTGGAAAAACAAAGCAAGAATAAGGGCTTCATATTATTATTCCCTATTTCTAATTCAGTATCACCGACCACTAAGCCAGTTCAATATTATCTTTAAACATAAGCCTCTGCAAGTTTTTCAGGGAGAGTTCCTGAGAATGAAATCATTCGAAAGAAAACGAACCAACTGAAAGACTATGAAGGCATCTTAGCAAAAATGGAACTTTCTGATCCTTGTAAAGCGAAAGACGATCCACAAATGTGTCCCTGAATACCTACGAGCACATCTGAGGGCTGTCAGGGCTGCTGGTAGGACAACAGGCATCCTTATTCCCTTAGCAATGTTCTTTGACTCTGAGGGACGAGGCTGGGCCTTGTAGGGGAATGAAGATGATGGGGGTCCCAGCGACTGACTTTCCAGTAAACTGGCTCAAATCTGTGCGCATTAAAAGTCAAGTGCAGGGGCAGCTGGTTAGCTCAGGTGGTTAGAGCACAGGCTCATAACACCGAGGTTGCCGCTTCGATTCCCACATGGGCCAGTGAGCTGCACCCTCCACAGCTAGATTGAAAACAACCACTTGACTTGGAGCTGATGGGTCTTGGAAAAAACACACTGTTACCCAAATAAAGTTTGAGAAAAAAAAAAAAGTCAAGTGCATGCCAAGTCTGCGTCAGACCCCACTGAAACCAGGGGTCCCCAGATCCTTTCCACTGTGTTGTTTCTTAGAAAAATGCCACATCTGTGGCATGTACAAAGTATGTCTCCATTAACTTTTTAAAATAGAAGCAATGAAACTTAAAAAGTTAAATCCATGAAAGATAAATTTTACCCCACCTCCAACTGAATATTTGATGTCAAGTTCGCTATACAGTCAGTCAGTTGTCAATTCTCCATCGGAAGGTAATCAGGTCATAATAATAGCTAATGATACCTATGACGTGGCCTTGCCCAGTTTATTTACCTTCTCTGGGCCTCAGTTTCCTCATCATAAAACCAGGGAGGTCGTAGTGCCTACCTCAAAGTGCTGTTATGACTATTTAGTTAGTACATAAAGAAGGCATACAGCAGTGCTGGCACAGAATAAATATTCAATATATGTCAGTCATTGCTATCATCATCGTTATTATTCTCGCTTGTCTGTAATTTTAAAATTATAGAAAAATAGAAACACTCCAAACAAAAGGAAAGCTGCAGCTCTTTCCTTGTCAGAATCAGTACTAGACAATTACAAATGGTACTGAAAATAATATTTGTACACAGAGGTGATAATTACTCACAGCTACTATGATACTCTCCCTCCTGGATGATTGCAAAAGATCTCCTCAGTGTGTCTGCATCCATTCTTACTGCAATCCCTAAATTTTTTGTCTGTACTAAAACCAGAGGGCTGTTTTTACTTCCCTTTGCTAGGGAGAAGGAGTCCTTAGCAAGACCTGCTGGGCTGCGTCGTCTGGCCATACCGCCCTCTCCAGCTTTATCTCCCATGGTTCCCGCTTCCTGCTCCAGCTGCACTAACCTTCTTTCAATCCCCCAACTCGCCCTGCTCCCTCCATCACAAAATTCTCTCTGTAGGGAATGCCCTGGAGTCTCCTTCACTGCCCTGGGGCTAGTTAATTCCAGTGTGTCTTTTGGATCTCAGCTCCCACCTGCTCCTCTGGGAGGCCCTGGCTGACCCCACGGCTGGGCAGACACCTGTCCTCTGCTCCTTCCTCTCGATACTTAGCCTCACTGTGGGCCTGATGCCTGCCTTGCCCCCAGGGACGTTTCTTCCGTGAGGGCACTCACCACCCCGTGCTGCCCAGTACTGAGGCCCCAGAGCCACTCCAGTCCTCGGTGGCCAGTAAGCATGTGTTGTATGAAGGGAAGAAGAAAAAGCTAACAGTCATAAATCCTGGTTCGTAACTGCCAGGCCTGCTGTCCTCACCGACAAGATAGCAGTAAGTGATTTTTACAGAATCAAAAACTAAAGCACAAACAGTGGAAGCCTGTTTACTTCACATAAACATGACTATACGATCCGCATCATCTGAAAATGAATTATTCAGATCCCCAGTTGAAAGGTTGTCAGGGAAGTGAAGTTGCTTTAAAAAAAATATTCAATAATGAATAGGCTGAAATAAATTTCTTTAACATTGCTCTCTGCTTAACACTGGCATTTACAATTACCATGTTTCCTCTTTAATTTTTTCATTGCCCAGTGTTACATGAGGTAATGTAATATTAATGGAAATAGCAAGATATGCGGTGTTTCATGAAGCCCATGGATGTGATAGGGAAGAATTGACAGAATCACAGCGGAGCAGAGGTGGACAAGGTAAACAAGTGAGCAACTGATAATGGAAAAATATGGTGAGACAACCGGTGCTTCAAAAGAGAATGAAGTGGCTATCAAAGCATTAAGAAATATCTTCAGGAAACTGAATGAGGCCTTGAATCCTTTCTTAAAAATTATACCTTTTTAGCTTTATTGTATAAAAGTCAAATATGACGTGATATAAAAAGACCCTCTGAAACCATTTTTTGTGCAAAAATTATTTGCAATAAACACGGTAACACTTGATTATTCATTCTCAAAATGAGCACCTAAGTTTGACTGAATGTAAGATAACTTGTTTTCATAATTTTATATTCCTATTTCAAGGTAACACCCCAATCAAAACTTTCCGTCCACCATGGACCTGAACATTTTGTCTCTGTTTTTACTGGACACATTAAAAATGTTTGTACTCTGGGATAAATGCAACTCATGTGCATCTGACACTGCATAACCTATATAACCTAAACACATCGTTTAGGAGTCACCGGTTTCCTGACCCTAGAATGTTTCTGTTGCCTTATACATAAATAGGCACAGTGGGTTTTGTTTGTTTTACCAGAGAACAGTGAATTAGGTACAAAGGGTGTTTCATCTTAGCTTAAGCACAACCACCTCAAGGCAGATCACCAGAGGTAGTCATTGGGTACTACGTGTACCTTCCAAAGTCTGTAACTAGAAATGTATCTATTTTCTTGAAGATTCATTTTCAAAAACCGCCATAGACACCATACCTGTGAGCGCTTTCCCTTTTTTCCTATAGTAAACACCAAAGATGAGGGCAGCAACCAATGCCACAGATATGAAGAGAAGCAGAATAATTAGGCTGGGCAAATACATCTGGGGCTCTGTATTGGAAGAAGATGAGAAAAACAGTGTGAAAGGTTATTTAATGTTCGTCTCTGAGTTTCAAAAACAAAACTTTCAATCAAACCCCCAAATCAAGCATGTGGGGATAAGAGAAGTGTGACAGTCCTCAACCCTGACTGTAGGCTCATCAGAGAGTGCTCACCTTCTGAAGGGCAGAGTCAACAACGTGGCCCAGTCCTGCTGTGTGGCATCCCTCTGAGTGAGGCCAGCCCAGGACCACCTTGAAGTGTTTCTACTTTAGAACAGCCCAAATCATGTTTACCGTGCCACCTTTTCTTACCTACAGAACACTCACTCTCTCTAGGTGGATGGCTCTTAGCATACGTCTTTCCAAATAACAACATGGCACCGGGGTTTTGCTGGTCATGAGAACAGAACCCCAGCCATCTTGCAACATGTTTCAGTATTTCTCCTACAACACAATGTGGACTCGGCCATTTTTTTTTTCATTCCCCCTTAATCATTTCATTGCTAGAACGTTTATATGATAAACTCTTGGTTTATGTGACCTCGTTTTTGGGCCTCTGCCTTTCCTCTCCTTCTGTCTTTTGTAAAATAACTTTTTTTAATTCCCTCGGTTATTTTTAACATTGTTTTAAAAGTGGTCTTTGTTAAACGCTGCTTTGACCGTGTAACTCCATATCCAGAACGCTTTGATGTCCTCCTGTTTCCCAAAATGTCAAATCTAAACCCCTGATTTTCTTAGTCAACACTTATTAATCCCATTGTTCTGTGGCCGGGGTTCTCTTGCCTCATGAGAAAGGTCTTCTTGACACTTAGGTCATCTCTTGTGCTGTGATAGCTGGACCCACCTCCACACCATCTCAACTCACCTGGATAAGCAGCCTCCATCATTAACTGTCAACTTTCCGTCAACCTTTGACACTATGTTTCAGATTAATTTAATCTACAAAATGGTTCATAAATCATGATAGCTATATTTTAACAAGTAGCTAAGGCCAAGATTTCCAATAGACACCCCTATTGTGACCACCATCCTACCATATTTGGGCATTTTAATTTATGTTTGGAGCTCAATTTTCTTTTCTTTTCTTTCTTTTTTTTTGTACTTATGAATACATTATTAGTTATCCATTCCAGAGTAAAAAATTATCAAGTAAACAACATATCTGGGATCAAAATAGTAACCAAAATGAAATACTAGATTGACCATGGATGAGATGAGATGAAAAGGGAGAGATGAACCCTCCAGATACACCATGTAATTTGGGGGAAGTCTAGAAGAGCTGATTAGACAGGGGCATATCCACCAGCCAACCTTCTCTGTTTAAACAAACATACCATTTGGGAGTTTTGTAGATGGCAGGGAAGAGCTACAAACCACATCTGATTTATCAGTCCCATGACGTGCTTCCGTCTCTCCAAGAATGGTACAGCTGTGGGGCAAAAGGTAGTTAAGTGCTTTCATTTTATAGTCTTTAAAAAAAAAATTCTACAAAAGGCTTTATTTACTCCCCTAGATCGCTAGCTCCTTCAGGAGAGGAACCCTGTACTTCCTGGACATGTGGACCCCCAGGGCCTGCCCACACATCATACAGGTGAACAAATGAATAAACAAAAGTAACCACTGCCAGTGTTCTCTAAAAACGGCTCCAAGAATATGGCCCAAAAGAGAGTAGGTTGGTGTCTTCAGTAAAGAAGATTTAAAACGCTTCAATTGCCATGGCTAAGTAATAAATTTTTGATGAATGCCCTTTTTAAGTTGAAAACACAGACAATCTTTTCAACATAAAACTTGGATCAGTGGATCAGAAAATAAACATTTAATGGGAATTAATATATTGGGAACTGAAAGAATTATTATATTGACTATTAGTATTCAACGACAAGCATTCAATGAAAGGATCCAGGGTTCCACTACAGATACACATCGTAAGTGTGAAACAGTATATGTGTGAGATGATTCATTCAAAAATTTTAATTACTGAAAAAGAATGGAGAGAACCTAACTGAACATTAACAGGAAACTATTTTAATAGATTATGGTATATCTTTACAATGAAATACTATGTAGCTATAAAAAGCCATGAAGATGTGAGTGAGCTAATATGGGATGATTCCTTCAAGACACATGTGAAAACAAAACAACAACAACAACAAAACAAGGTGTTTCCAGTATGAGAATATTTGTATAAACAGGGGGCTTCTTTATGCACATACACAACACACACACACACACACACACACACACACACACACTCACACACACTCACACACACACGTATCTCTGGACATATAAACCAGTGGTGTTGGCAAGCTGGGAAATGTGGTGAGTGAATGGTAATAAACGTCATCAATCATTTTCAACTAAATAAGATTAGAAAAAATGAAAAAAAGGAGTTGCAAGTATAAGACAAAGATTGAGTCAAACTGAATCTAAAAAGCAACACACAGCCCCTGTCACACATCAGGTTGAAGAGTGGGTTGGCCTGGTTTATTCTGACCACACTGCATGGGCAGACTTCTTCCGTTTTGAACATGGCTTCGAGAGGAAGCCTCGTCAAACTGAATCAGTCTGCTTTCAGCCCAGACAAGACAGGGGAGGTTGAGTTGTGTAAAATCCATGAAGTCTCTTGGCTGCTTCGGTGTCACTTACTTGGTCCAGGGTTTGCATTTTTCCGTGGAAGAAAAGACATCCGAGAAATAGCCTACGAGGCAGGGCGTGCACACCGTGTCTTTGTTGAGCTGCACTGTCAAAAAAACAAAAGGACAAAGAGAACAAAGAAAAACCAAACAAGGACACTTAGAGATCGGCCAGGATGACAGTCCAGAGGACCAGAGAGCAGGGGCTGCCCTCTCCCCCTCTCACCTCCCATCTCTCCCTGCCCTGGCCGTCTGTGTGCGGCTGCTTGCTTCAGCCCCCACAGACTCAGAGGGCCCACGATCCCAGCAGTAGGCACGGGGCTATGTTCAGGAAGGTGACTGGCGCAGTGTCCACTAACGCCAGTATCCAAGTTAGGTGCTGACCCTTTGCTGTTCAGAGTGACCGTCCTGGTCGCTGATGCTTTGATTCCTAGCCAGGGAGCCTGCTGTCTGACTTGCTTTAGCCAGACACCTGTCTGCTCCTCCTTCAGCCTTTGGGCTTTACATCAACCTTCATCTACAGAGAACGGCAGCCCTTTCGCTACTGTTAAGGGAAAGTTCTTGTCCTGACCCCTTGTGACAAGCTTACATCACAGCAGTCCAAGTATGGGAGTGACAACAACAGTTTTCTGAAGAAAGAAAGAAGAA